TTATTAATTAATAAATTAAAATCAACTTTTATAAATTAATATTTTTAGTACCATAACTAACTATAAAATCATAAAATAATAAAATTAATTGAAAAAGACATTTATTATGCTATTTATTTGGCCTTAATAATAGATTGTGCAACAATAATTACATCTTTAACATAGATTTTAATTCAGGCAATTAGGTTAAATGTCGAAATTGTACATCCAAAACATATGAAAAACGTTTACAATATGCTTCATTCATCGTATGGTATTTCCTAAACAACGCGTACTTGAACAAAAGTTCTACACAACTCTAGTCCTAGGTTAGGTGCTACTTGCTAGGCAAAACAGAATAGTCCTAACTGGCTCAGGGAAAGAAGGTAAATAACTGAGGATATGCATTTACCCCTTTGCGTTGAAAAAGTATACAAATTTGACCACTTAAGTAACCATACAAATGAACTTAACCAAGCGGTCCAATGACCGCCCGCCTCATTAAAATTAGTGGACTATTCATTAGATTTGGGAATCGAATTCCTTAATTGCTAACATTTGACAATATTAACTTATTAATCATTGTCCTTATCCAAAAAAAAAAAAAAAAGTAACCATACAAATAAATCAGATCAAACTTAAAGAAAACTCGTACACATGGGAATCGAATTCAACACCTAAGCCTCTAGGTTCTTTAACCACTTGAGCTAAGGCCTAATTGGCGAATACCATCTCAACTAAGCTCAACTCAACTAGCTCGTTTGTGAAATATAATTTGATATGATTATGGCCCTGCTGTAATCAGAGATGTCTCAGAGGACAAAACAAGTAAAACTAGTTCCGGGGGAAATAGATTCATTCAAGAATCATCCATTTCCCCATACAGCTCATGCTAAAGAACAAAGAGAATATTCAAGGGAGGTGGAGAGCATAGGAATACCCTGTAATCAGGGACCTTGACATATTCAGATGACAGAAGAAGAGTATTTTCTGGCTTCAAATCAGTGTGAATCAAGTGTAAATCATACATAACTGCACATTAATGAAAAAAAGGTTAATTAGAAGAAAAGTTAAATGATTTCTTTAAGAGGGGGTGGGAATGAAATAATTTATCAATTATCAATCCCACGCAAATCTAAACGATAATTGCTTTGGTTTCCTTGAAAAAGTGGCTAACTTCAACTCAGCAAACTTATAGAACTATTGATATCTGAACCTTAGCTTCATATTAAGAAGGGTTTAAGCATCAAATAGATAAAATATAGATTAAAATGGTGCAAGAATATTCACACACATGCTACAGATTCCCAAATTTGTCTGCCAAGCTCCCGAACAAGATCAATGAGAAATCAACAATAGTTGTTTTTGTGGAGAAAATCGTATGGGCTTGGTCCAAGCTTCTCAAATACCTGTTGAAACCATTTAAGTTCATCCGCAAGTTTTTTAAATTACAGAAAATTTAGGATAGAAGGGCAAGTATTTTCCCCCAAATTAATCACATTGGAATTTGCAAATACCAATAAATACTTACAGTACAAATATGATTACGATAGTCAAATCAATTCCATATTTGCACACAACTGCAAGGATTGAAAACCACTTATACCATAATCACTTGAATTCCTACAAAGAATGAGATAAGCAAAATACAAAAGAAAGCATCCTTACCGAATGCCACCAATGTCGTGCCTGGCAAGCCTTTGTAGGAAGTCAATTTCAATCATGGCTGCTTCACAATACTTATGTATGGAGCGAACAATTTTGATGGCCACAACTTCTTGCTTCTCATTATCAAAGCATTCCAGGACTTGCCCAAATGTTCCTGTGAGAATACCATCAAATGAACTGTAGTGGAAAATAATCCCACAAAAATACACAGAACAGAACCCCAATATGTTTATCCACTGGCAACTCCAGTGCAATACATAATATGCAAATATTCAGATAATGAAATCCCATGTGTATCTACTAACCTTCACCCATTTCACCTAGAATCTTGACTGCAAGCACGAAAGGAACAGAAAGTGACCAAATAATGAGTATTACAGGTAGAGCATGAGAAATTTAACAGCGTCACCATTCAGACTAGTCCATATGGCATGCAGATGAGAAACAAAATCAAAGAATATAACAAAGGGTTAGGCAGCAGGCATATTATTTTGACCTGAAAAGTCTTTCTTCAATCGAAAACTGCAGGGTTCTGTAGAAGAGACAATGAATTGTGTGATCACAGCTCTTACCTACAGCGTGGAGTTAGATTTTTTCTAATGACAAAAACATAATGTCCATCTTTATAATCAGGTCTCCAGGGAGGAGAGCCATTCCTTGGGAGTCCTCAATAGAACATGTTAGAATAGGCATAATTGGGGATTTCCCCCAATCATTCCATTTGCAAATTTGTGGGCGCAATACATTGCAGGGGGCTGAACCACCAAAAAAACCAAGCTAAATCTTGATTCTTTAATCAATGTTTAGCAATTAGAAAACTTTATGATTATATATAACTTGCAAAAGCACTCAAATTTATTAACATGATTGAAAGTTATATCTTTTCTTACTAATAACACCAAAAATCCTTCTTGTTATATACCACATTACAAAAACAAAACTACCCACATTAAGAAGACATGACATTTACTATAATTCTGAACAATTCCACAACATGCACTAATAAACCAATAAGAACAAGCTAAAATCTATAAAAACGGAATGGATATACCACCTTAATAAGCATAAATACGAAGGAAGGACAAACCTTGGGAGAAGGAAGAGAAGGAGGCAGGTCCCATGTTAACCTAGGTTTCTTCCTAGGTCGATTAGCCATGTTCTGGTTTGGAAATCCTATTATCCGTTATATCTCCATTCCTTCTTCACCTTTTTTTCTCTCCTCTACAATTCAGAACTCCCTTCCTCTGCAGCACAAAATATGCTAGATCAATTAATATTGAGCTATTTATATAACATGATAAATTTTTATCTGGAATTTATGTTTAAAAAATTAAGAACTTAAACTCAGATTTCTAAAGTTGAAGGGAGGCAGTACACTTTTAGGTGCACGATGTTGTTTCTCTACAGATGGAAAGAAGACTGACCCAAAGGTCCAGGCTGTGAAGGTTGCCAAGGCTGTAATATCAGGTGCTGCAACTTTTAAGTGGACAAAAAAGATAAGGACATCAGTTACGTTTCATTGACCAAAGACAATGAAGAAGGAGAGAAATCCTAAATATCCTCGCATTAGTGCTCCTCCAAGGAACAAGCTTGATGAGTACCAAATTGTGAGGTATCCTCTCACAGCTGAATCTGCGATGAAGAAGATCCAAGATAACAACACCCTGGTCTTCATTGTCGACATCTGTGCTGACAAGAAGAAAATTAAGGATGCTGTCAAAATGATTTATCAAATGCAGACGAAGAAAGTGAACACATTGATTAGGTAATGACTTACCTTCCAGCTTTCTATGTCATAGAAGCTTCCTCTCAAATTCTGCTTGTTTGAACCATTCTCAGTTCCATATTTGTTAATTTGATTATGTATTCTTTTGCAGCCCTGATGAAACAAAGAAAGCATATGTTAGGTTGACGCCAGACTGTGATGCTTTGGAAGTGGGCAAACAAGATTGGGATAATCTAAATACGAAATTTAAGGATAGGCACTAGCTTATCAATTTATTTGTACTCTATCTTAAAAGTGTTTATCATTTGACATGGTGTCCTTCCTGAACAGTTAAAGGATTCTATGTAAGTTGTTTATTTGCCTGATATACCATATAACCTTTCCCTTTTCAGTTCTCACAAAAGCTTTAATTGTGTTTGTGTTTATTAGATTTTTGCCAATTAGTTACATTGTTGAGACTTCTTTGAGTGCATAAAGACTAAAGGGAACTTGGAACAAAGTTGCCTTAGTAATGCTTGTGCTTCGTTGGTATCTAGGGCCATTTTTGTTAATCTAACAACCCTAGGTTATTTGAGGAATGCTCTCCTTTATTTAACTCGCAATAAGAGAATTAAACAGGAAAAAGAATTGTGGCTTTCAGCAATGAAGGTTGTATTTTTTTAATGTGAGCCATTCTTTCTTTACCGTTCCTCATTTAAAACTGCCTGCAGAAAACAGGGAGCTTCACTCTGCCTTGCATGCTGGATGCAGATCTGCAAGGCCCTGTAGATCTCATCCTGCTGACAATGACTCCAGTCTCTGTTAACAAAGACATGAACTTTGTTCCTTATTTCGATCCAACTGCAGCCTGGAACCCTCTTCATCTCTCTATCTTTCATCTCTGTCCTAATTGTTATTGCATTTTGCCATCTACCAGCTGCACAATGTGCATTTGATAGCATTACATAAGAAGAAACATCTCCTGGGTCCAATTCGATGATCTTAGATGCTGCAAGTTCCCCCAGTTCTGTATTTGAGTGAATCTGGCAGCCCCCTAGCAACGCCTTCCAAAACCCAATCCCTGGTTCAAAAGGCAAATGGTGAAGAAATTCCTCAGCTTCTTTAAAATGCCCAGACCGAGAGAGTAAATCTACCATGCAAGCATAATGCTCAGGTTTTAGCAAAGCAGGACTCTCATTTTTTGCCTGATTGAAATATAAAAAACTCTCATCAACAAGACCAGCATGATTGCATGCCCATAGCAGACCAAGAAGTGTAACATTATTGGGTCGAATACCAGTTTCCAGCATACTCTCATAGAAGCCTACTGCTTCCTTTCCCATTCCGTTCTGTGCATAGCCACATATTACAGCATTCCAAGAAACAATGTTTCTTTCAGGAAGTTTGTCAAAAACCAAGAGACCATCTTCCATGCTTCCGCATTTAGCATAAAAGCTAATAAGAGAATTACCGACAAACACATTAGACCTTCCCAAGCACTTAACAGCACAAGCATGAAAACTTTTGCCCATTCCTAGTGCAGCTATATTGGCAGCTGCACTAATAGCACAGGGGAAGGTGGATTCGTTTGGCATCCACCCTTCTCTCAACATCTCAATGAAGAGATTCACAGCCTCTTCGTTGTGCCCAGTTTGGCTACACCCACCAATCATAGCATTCCACGAAACAACATTTCTCTCAGGCATCATCTCGAACAGCAGAAGGGCATCCCCGAATCTCTCTTTCTTCAAGTACCCACGCATCAAAGTTGTGTAAGACACAACATTTGGTTCGTGGGTATCATCAAAAGCCCTTTTTGCTTCCTCAACAGAACTCAATTTGGCATAAAAATCTACAATTGCACTACCCACAAAGACATTTGAATGCAGGCCCACCTTCACTGCAAAGGTGTGAAGCTGCTTGCCTATATTAACATCTCCAATGGCAGTGGACGAATGAATCACAGTCCCAAATGTGAACTCATTGGGTTTAATGTTCAAAAACAGCATTCCACGGAACAAGTATATGGCCTCTTCATGACGTTTCTGTCTGGAGTAGCGGCCAATTATAGCTGTAGCTGATACCACATTTAGGTCAGGCACTTCGTCGAACAGTTGACGCGCATTCGCAAATGCGTCCGATTTACGGAAGGTTAGGGAGTGTATATTGGTTTTACGGATTCCAGCTGCCGTATCCGTCCTGATTATGGTAGTAATTCGGGAGAGCGGCAATCTACGCATTGATTGGAGTCATGCGTGGTACATGGGCGCTCGGAAGTTCACCGGAATGTTACCAGTCAGCGTCCCCGGCGCATATGATATTATGATGCATTGATGCTCCAACAACTCGACACCGTCAGCGGTTAAATTAAACCGGATTTTCCTAAAATCTAAGGTTGTATTTTATATTTTGAATACTGTGTTACTGTAATTTTTAATATTTTATTTTAAAAATTTTATTATTATTTAATTTTGAATGAAACTCTGCTTCATCTCTTAACATTTTTGTTCAGTTTATATAAAGCAGATAATAATCAATAATAATATCATCAGGTGATTAAGGTTAATATTAATCCATAATCCCTTAAATAATGTGTTTCTTTCTGTTAATGGATGATGCAATGGAAGCTTCTATTCCATTGGAGATTTAAAGTATTTATTAATTAATCATATATACTTAAGACCAGATGTCGGCCTGCCTGGAGTGAAACCGCAATTCTTGACTTGTTTGTGGAGTCCTTCATTGGTTGTTGCTTGTGAAGCCGATTGCAGACATGTCAGCAAAATCCAAGTTTTGATTTGCGTTAAGAACACCAACTTAGGATTTCTTTTAATTATTAATTAATACTTATGTAAGGAAAATTTAGGCAAAAGGGGTCTGTATGTGGTAGGTTATAATTGAAATTGAAGTTAGAAAAATGATTGTATAAGAATATATATGACTTATATATTTAACTTATTGTCCTATAATAAAAAATTATAAATTATAAGTAGAAGTTAATGCTCAGCAACGTCTCTAACAAAATCATCAAAATCCTAACAATATTACTCTTAGTGGTTAAGCGGGATAATAAATAATGATGGAAGGTTTTGTTAATTTCATATCAACGAGCAGTAAAGAGACAAGTTTCATGTGCTGATACGATGAATTCCGATCGAGTCATGAAAAGGGATCAAGTCATGCGTAATTCAGATTGATTCGATGGGGGAAAAACAGGGGAGGAAAATCTTGCTTTGCGTCTCGGTAATTAAGTGACGCAAGGTCGTGCCTCCTCTTAGGTATGTAACCCAATGTAAATTGCACATTTGGGATTAGGTATGTAAGGCATGATTTCTCGAATCTCTTGGACCAGTAGAAGAAGGACACAGGAACTCGGCTTAATAAATAATCAAGACACTTTTCTGTAAACCATTGGTAGGATTACTTTTAACCTCAAATGTTAATTATAGTTTAATCATACACGATAAAACCGAGCTGGAGAAGTTGGGTTTGGTCATTGTTAATCTCATGGGAAACAAGACTATGGCACTTAGCCTTTTATATCTTATCACCACTAGTATTTTTCTTAAGTAAAAAAATAAAAGGAGTTTGCCTTTTCTCAGCGTATTGATCTTTGACCCTTGCACGTGTCCAAGGGTCTGAGAATTGATCTCTAAAATCCTGTTTTTATTGTGTGAAGGGTGTTTGAAAGGGTCAAAAGTACGAGGAGCTCCAAAAGTTGTACTTAACACACCAGAAATTGGCACTTTCATTCCTGAAATTTGACCCCTACAAGGGAAAATGATTGGTTGAAGCTTTGCCTGGGGGAGTAGGACCCTCCCCATATGGGAACAAGAAAAATTAGCCAATCCCCAATTGATAGCAAGTTAAGGCCTTTCAATTTGAGCTAGAGGGAGAAAGAGGGAGTATTACACTTAGATCATGACAT